CTGCATTTTAGACAGCCCTATTTATGTATTTGAGCATCTTTAGCATCAAAGGCTGTAATTGTGAGCTGATTCATGACAAGCTGTGAGATTTTAATTATCTACATGTTTTTAAGTGCAGCTTCCTATCTGATTTTGCTAATGATTAGACTTTTATTATGCCTATTATGATCTTTGTTAGTAGATCTTTTCTTTCACACAGGAGCTGGCACTGGAGCAGGTAGCCTCAGGAAGCAGGATAAGACAGTTCTGTGTATGCATTTGTGGATTTTAGTAAGGCTTTTGCTACTGTCCCTCACAGCATCCCTCTGGACAAGTTGTCCAACTGTGGGATGAGGGATTTTATGGTGTGCTGGGTGAAGAACTGGCTGAAGGACAAAGCTTAAAGTGTTGTAGTGAAGGGGGCTACATCTGGCTGGCAACTGGTCAGCAGTGGTGCTCCTCAGGCCTCAGTTCCAGGGTCAGTCCTGTTCAATGTATTTATCAACTGTCTGGATGCATGAGTTGAATGTACCATTAGGATGTTTGCTAATGATACCAAACTGGGAGGTACCCTCCTGAAGGACAAGATGCTTGTCTAGAGGGATCAAAATAGATTGAAGTATGGGGCACTGATTAATGGGATGAAATTTAACAAGTCAAAATGATGAATTCTGCTTCTAGGATGAAGTAATGCTGGCTACAAGTACAGACTGGGGGAGGAGAGGCTGGAGAGCAGCCCTGCAGAAGGGATCTGGTGGTACTTGTTGGCCAGCATTGTGTCCTGGCAGCCAGGTGGAAGGGAGACTGAGGGAAGACATTATTGCTTTCTACAACTACCTACAAGGAGGTTGTTGCGAGGTGGGGATTGTTCTCTTCTCCCAGGTAGGAAGTGATAGAACAAGAGCACATGGCCTAACTTTTATTATGCCTATTATGATCTTTGTTAGTAGATCTTTTCTTTCACACAGGAGCTGGCACTGGAGCAGGTAGCCTCAGGAAGCAGGATAAGACAGTTCTGTGTATGCATTTGTGGATTTTAGTAAGGCTTTTGCTACTGTCCCTCACAGCATCCTTCTGGACAAGTTGTCCAACTGTGGGATGAGGGATTTTATGGTGTGCTGGGTGAAGAACTGGCTGAAGGACAAAGCTTAAAGTGTTGTAGTGAAGGGGGCTACATCTGGCTGGCAACTGGTCAGCAGTGGTGCTCCTCAGGCCTCAGTTCCAGGGTCAGTCCTGTTCAATGTATTTATCAACTGTCTGGATGCATGAGTTGAATGTACCATTAGGATGTTTGCTAATGATACCAAACTGGGAGGTACCCTCCTGAAGGACAAGATGCTTGTCTAGAGGGATCAAAATAGATTGAAGTATGGGGCACTGATTAATGGGATGAAATTTAACAAGTCAAAATGATGAATTCTGCTTCTAGGATGAAGTAATGCTGGCTACAAGTACAGACTGGGGGAGGAGAGGCTGGAGAGCAGCCCTGCAGAAGGGATCTGGTGGTACTTGTTGGCCAGCATTGTGTCCTGGCAGCCAGGTGGAAGGGAGACTGAGGGGAGACATTATTGCTTTCTACAACTACCTACAAGGAGGTTGTTGCGAGGTGGGGATTGTTCTCTTCTCCCAGGTAGGAAGTGATAGAACAAGAGCACATGGCCTAAAGTTGTTCCAGGGGAGGATTAGATTGGATATTAGGGAAAAATTACTGAAGGGATTCTTAGGCAGTGGAATAAGCTGCCCAGAGAAGTGCTCAAGTCACCAGCCCTGGATGTCTCTAAAAGACATGTAGATGTGGTGTTTAGGGACATGGTTTACTGGAGGACTTGGCAGTGCTTGGTTAACAGTTGAGCTTGAAGATCTTAAAGGTATTTTCCAACCAAAAAGATCCAGTGATTCTAAAAGGGCAAACCTCATCCTGAGGTGCATCAAATGCAGCATAACTAGCTGGTCAAAGAGGAGATTATCCTGCTGGATGCAGCATTGGTGTGACCTCACCTGGGCCACTGTGCCCTACAGTTCTGTGGCCCACGATTTAAGAAGGTTGCTAAGGTACTTGAATGCATCCAGAGGAGGGCAACAAAGCTGGTGAAAGGGCTGGAGGGCACATCCTGTGAGGAGCAGCTAAGGACTTTGGGTTTGTCTAGCTTGGAGAAAAGGAGGCTGAAGGGCAACTTC